CGAAATTTGTATATGAACAAAATTGTTCAGAATCATGTCCGTGATAAGATATCAAAAGAGCACTAAAATCGAGAAAAGTTTATTTCAAAAGTTGCCGGTTTTTTTGCAATAACAATACTTTGCAATTAAAAAATGAAACATTTTTTGATAATGGTACTAATGGGGAGTCAGAACCTATCAGATGCAAAAGGTTTCGTTCCGATCGGTCCATCCAGCTAAGCGTAATCGGCGGGCACACATAAAAAAAAAAAAAAAAAAATACTGATCAAACTGAGTAACCTCCTCCTTTTTCGAAGTCGGTTAAGGAAATATCGATATTTAAGTAGAGAATTATTTATATAACAAATTTCTGTTTTTATTTATTCTGCTATTCTATATCAAAACTGGAAATCAATTATGTAATTATTTATTTCATGAGAAATAGAAAAAAATAGGTTATTTCTACAAATTATTTCTAACTCGCCAAGAACACAAGATATTGCAGTTTCTCTTATTGTAATCATGGTTTACCCGATTTTTAATCAGGTTCAACTTTAGTACATTATCAGCCTTAGTTCAAGAATCCTTACTTTTATGTCAGAGAGAAATCGAATTTTTGTTAAATATTTTGGATAAAATGAGTAATTGTTTGAATACCTATACAACGTCGCTCACACATCTAATTGTACATCTGTATAAAGTTATTTTAATAAATTCGTAACGTTTTTGATTTTGTAATTTTTAAATGCATTTATGAAGTAACATATGTATAATTTTAACTCTCTCTTGGACGATTAATTTTATATTTACGTATGCGCCTTATAAATATATTTCTGCATAAATTTTGTATACCGAAAGTATTCTCGAAGCAATTATCTTTGCAGACAATTATACAAGTACAGCCACCTACGTGGAAAACATGCAACATGATTAGATCCATATAATGTTTCAAATTAAAATATTTTAAAAACCAAGGCTTATTTTGCAAAAACCCATGGAGGTTTTGTAATGCCATATGCGCATAAAAATTTTAATGTATTATTACTTCAAGAGAGATATACACAGCCGTTCTTTTTCTTGTTAAATTAAATTGAAAATAGAATAGTCCAATCCAGTACAAGGACAGATGAGGTCAGACTATTTCTGCGTAGGAGTGCAGGAGGAAAGGCAGTGGCACTATTTTAAACTTTTTAATTTATAGTGATCAAATGTTACGACGTATTTTATCTTTATTACGAATTGGACGTCTCTTTGTGATGAATTTTTAATGATTCATATCCTTTTAAGGAATAACAAGAGACAACTAATATTTTTCGGAACTCAAATGTAAGAGTGACCTTGGCAACATATATCAAGGTTAAAGCTGCCTTGCCTAAAGTAAATATGCATTATACATATATTTAGCCAAATAGTTTCAAAGTACTAAAATGAACATTATGATAATAAAATTAAATGAATGTTGTTTTGAAAAAAATATTAAATTAGTAAAAGCTACCTAAATATTTGAATATTCGTTCTTATTTCTATTATAGTCATTAAAAACTGAAAATACTGAAAACAGTTCCAATCATTTTCTATTTTTTATTTAGAATAGAAATTACAGAATATTTCTTAGTATATTAGAATGTTGTATAATTTATAAAAATAATAATTATATACTTAAATATCAAATTCAATCAAAAGTTCATGTAAAGATCGACAAATATATTATATGTATGTATACAAAGAATAAGCACGTATAGGGCTGCATTAAGACCTTCAAAAGCCGTAACACTTAAAAAGCGTGAAATAAAATAATTTTAAGAAAAAAAATACGCCGACTTCGAAATGCACTAAAAAGTATAAAATAATTTCTATTTCCTAATGAAGTAATTTCTATTTC